ATCAAAGGCTCCTTTCAGCCTGATCTTTACAGACAGAGCCTTCTAATAACAGAGATCCTATAGGGTCATAAAGACCCAGGGAGGAAGCCTGCTGGTTGGTTTCATTGGGCCTTTCTGAGCTAGAGTCTGCTGTGGGACTCTTCTGAAAGAGATGACTCAGTAAAAGGGAAACATCAAAATACTCAGCTGGGGAATATGGATTCTTTGGAACCTGAAGAAAGAATCCAATAAAGTCTCTGAGCTTCCTTTTCAGATTGTGAGGGCATGTCAGTAGCTTATTATGGACTCCATTTAGAATCACCTAGGTTCTTCCCATCCAATTCTCCACAATTCTGCTGAGTAGGATCCACTCTGAATTTTCTTAGGGTCGATCTCCTATTTTTTCTTCTCATATAGTGACCATCTTATCTGCCACTATAGCTTTCTCCAGCCCAGTCAACATTATATCATCAATGTAATGGTGGACATAAATGGCCTCAGGGAGTGGGGCTTCTTTGAGGTCCCTGCCCACCAAACTATAGTAATATAAAGAGTTCAAATAATGTTGAGGAAGGACTGTGAAGGAATACTTTACTCCTCTCAGGTAAAAGCAAACCCACTCCAGATTAGTTTCAGACATGAGAATAAGGAAAAGACATTGGCAAGGTCTGTAACTATACTATTAGTCTGACTCATGAGCTACTTAATCTAATAGATTGATAAGGTCAGGAACAGCTGCAGCAAATGGAGTAACAACTATATTTAGCTCTCTATAATCCACTGAAAAGTACCAACTACTATCTACCTTCTTCATTGGTCATATAAGGTTATCATAGAGAAAGCTAGTGTAGTAAAATATTTCAGCCAGCCTCAAACACACACGTTTCAATACTTGATATTGTTTCATATTAACCATACAGGATGGTTCAAGCAGTTTCAAGGGTTTCCATTTGGCCCTACCACAATAATTGGTATAGAAGTGGCCATAAGTACCTATACAGGCACTGACTCCCAAGAACTCATAATATCTATTTCCACAAAGTAATCACACTGATTAGCCATCACAGGGTCTAGATGGGGAATCTTCCGACCACGCCAGGACTTCCCTGCACCCCACTTCCTTTAGTAGTCTCCCCTTCCAAAATCCCCATGGAAAGTAGAATGTCCTTATGATCTATCTGTAGAATAGTAACCTGGGTATCTAGCAGCCTCTTATACATTTGGTGACTGCTCTTTGTAAGTTACCAAGACTTGGGTATATGGATTTGTGTTCTGTTCTGGTCCTGCAGTTAGAACTTGAGCCTTGGGGGAACCTTAGCCCCTACCCTAGGGGAACATCCCCGAAGCCTCTCAAGTCTACATTCAAAGATTTAGGTGGTTTAGAACAAGCAAATGAAATTGGAAACTTTCAGAAATGTCCTAAATCTGGAAAGAACAGAATCCCTTCTGCTCCCTGAATTCTAGATAAGGAAGTTTTATTAAGACCTCCACAGAGTAATGATAATCTTCTTCAACTCCATGTTTCAAAAGCCACATCCAAAACTTCTTATGAGAAAAGGTCACCCTCCAACCACTTAACCTGGGAGCAGTAACAGTATTTCTTCCCATCATTTCTAGTAAAGTTATTATGCTTGTTTGTGTGGTAGCCATATTTGCCTAGACAGTTAAGTCTGCCCTAATCTCCCTAAATTTCATGAGTTGGTCTGCTCAGGCCTGTATGGTGGTATGGCAGTGGAGGCCCAATTAAAGGCTGATACCACCCAGTTGGGGATCAGCACAAAAAGCAAGATCTAATTGGTCCTGACATATGTTGGTCATACGGGTACTAGGGTGGCATAGATTCAGTCAACCAAACCCCTTGTCTTCTAAGAATTTCATCTTATCCCTTGCTGACCTCCACTGGGGAACTGGCTGTAGAGAAAATTAATTTAAAATTTATTATTTATAACATTCATTTTTTAAAAAATTGAATTCTGAATTCTCTCCCTCCCTCCTACACTTCCCCTACCCACCATGAAGGCAAGAAATGTGATATCAATTATAGATGTGAAATCCTGCAAAACATATTTACCATATTAGCTATGTTGCAAAAATAACAAGAAAAAGAAAGTGAAAAAATTATGCTTCAATCTGTATTCAGACTCCATCAGATCTTTCTCTGGAAGTGGACAGTATTTTTCGTCATAAGTCCTTTGGAATTGTCTTGGATCATTGTATTGGTCACAGTAGCTAAGTCATTCACAATCTTTCCAGGTTTTTCTGAAGCCACCTTGCTCATTATTTCTTATAGCACAATAGCATTCCATCATAATCATATATCACAACTTGTTCAGCCATTCCCCAATTGATGGACATCCCCTCAATTTTGAATTCTTTGCCACTGAAAAAAAGCTGCTGTAAATATTTTTGTCCTTTTCCTTTGATCTCTTTGGGACACAAACCTAGTAATGGTATTGCTGGATCATAGGGTATGTAGAGTTTTATAGTCCTTTAGAACATAGTTCCCAATTGCTCTCCAGAATGGTTGGATCAGTCCACAACTCCACCAACAGTGCATTAGCGTCCTAATTTTTCCACATTCCCTCTGACACTTATTTTCCTTTTCTTTCATATTAGTCAATCTGACAGGTGTGAGATAGTACCTCAGAGTTGTTTTAATTTTCATCTTTAATCAATAGTGATTTAGAGCATCTTTTCATATGACTGTAGGTAGCTTTGATGGAATTCATTTTTATGAGGCTAGAAGTCCCTTGAGCAGTCACCTAAAAAGGGATAAAAGACAATCTTTATGTAGGGACATGTAACTGATTTAACTGGCTTTGCAAAAGTAAATCTTCTGTGAGGCTCATCACACCAATGGAACTGTAGCTGGAAGATGCTTTGAACTGACCTCATCGGACCATACTCTCACTAACCACTGTTTTAATGACTCATTAGACTATTGTAAACTTTTCTTGCAGCCTCCCAAGTTCCTTGGTGGTAAAAAGCCTGTCCATTTTAACTCTGGAGGAAGTAACCTGTGGGGAGTAATAACAGTAATAACAAACAGGCTTTTTTACCACTGGTGCCTGTTCCCAGTTCTCACCCTTTTTCCCACTACCCTTCTCTTCACTAATAGTTCTAATCTTAACAGAATTCAATATTTTCTCCAGAGTGAGAAACCATGCTTTTCACCTGTGGCCTACTGGTCCCTGCTCCCATCGGTCTCTAGTATAGCTGAATGTGCAATTCTATAGACAATCTATTTTCATTTTCCTCATGCTTGCTGTCATAAGCATTAACACCTGCATAGTTTCTTTTCAATGGTACTGAAACCACCTCAGGACTTAATTGGTCCAAGAAACCAAGGCTAAAATCAGTGAAGATATCTTCCTTGTGGTTTAAGTACAAAAGCCACCAGGGACTACCCTTTCAGATTTGACATTCCTCTTCACTGGCAGGGAAGCTGAACTCAACTGAATCTGTGTAAACTTGATGAATCACTTTACCATGCTATGGCTAAGTAAACTTCCTTTTGTTAACTCTTACTTAGATGATTGTCTCATTTCCTTCTAATCCTAAACTTGAGGCATCAGACTGCCTTGAGTCAAATCTGGTCTACAACACTGATGATCCTGCTTTTCTAAAAACATTTGCAAGAGCCAGGGAATATTAGTTCTTGCAATACTTTTATTTTACCTGTCAATCTCTTTAAACAGCCATTGGATTAATCCTAGGGGGTCAGTAGGGCTTCCCCCCTTATCCTAGAGAAGGGCTCCTTGTATTCAGCTCAAAGAGCCACAGGTGCTAGATTCCTGAAACTGGCCATCCAATCATCTCCCTCAACTGGACCTATGACTTCATTAGGTCCTGATGAGGAACTTCCTCCATCAATGGAGGTCAGAACCTTCTCTGCAATTTGTAGTCTTAACATTGCCTGGGGGAACTTGGAGGTTAAGTGACTAGCACAAGTCATAGTCAGTAGGTGTTTGGAGGACAGGTATCCACTCAATCAATCATCTTACCTCACTCAAATAAACTACTTTTGTCAGGTTAGAACACCTCTACTGAATTGGTCAATCAAAAGCAATAAACTAGGTGGGAAAATTCCTTGATTAATTTGGAAGGAATGAAAGTCATTTGACAAAATAAAGTAACTCTGCAAAGGAAGTGTATTGGGATTGGCTGGGGAGACCTAATAGCACCCTGTGGGCCATGGAACCCGGGCATCTAAGTATCTAGCCAGCCCAGGAGAGTCACCTAATGAAGTCTCTGAAAGGGAACTGCTTGGTGAAGAAGATCTGTCCCCTCTCTGCTCTCCCTCTTAACAAAAGGACCTTGTGAACTCTGAAAGGTCAGAAGACTTTGGACATTCTATCAGCGTCTTCACAGGGAACCAAGGACAAAAGAGATAGCCCGAGGAAAGGCAGTTTGAGGACTCTACAAAGCTTAGCAGAAAGCTGTATCACGCCAGGTCTTTACAAGGGCACCACAAATGAGAAAAGAACCTCCTACAAAAGGATTTCCAGGAGCTACAAGTTACCCTTATTGCCACAGCTTGCTCTAGGCTTGGGCCCTATTTCCCTGGATTCTATGTGTACTTGTGGGAGAGTGTGTCTTAATTTGGAGGCATATGTTGAATCTACTGGTTTTGCCACACTGCTTCAGTAAATACCCTTTCCTAAATGTCAAGTCCAGCTGACTAATTGATATCAACTGATAATCACTTGGGGAAGCACACAAACATCCGCTTCCAAGCTATACTTAGAGAAGCCACATTCCCCTTCTCTTAGAACCCCGATGGGGAAAAAAACTAAAACTAAAACTAAAAACTCTCTGGGTACTCAACTTACCAGTGCAGTGGAAGTTAGGAGACTGAGCCCCAGAGCATGAGCTATAGATAGGACTCAAACCCATGTCCTTCCTAACATCGAGGCTGGCTCTCTATCCACTATACTATGTTGCCTCTCTGTATGTCTATCATATCTCTTACATTAGATTATAAGCTTCTTGAAGGCATAGTCCATCAGGCTTCATAAATATATGTTAAATTAATAACTGAATTGAGTTCTTTATTATCCCAGGCATCTTTTTCATTAAAAGGTAAAACAAGGTACAGGAAACAAGGAAAAGAAACCAAACAAAAGCACAAGTGGTATTAGAGCTCTTAAGAGTCACAAAGCTAGCCACTGTTTCAGATAAGACCAGAATTTGTGCCATATCCCAAATGCTCTTCTCATCAGGAGTCCCTTCTGGCTGCATGAGGGAGTAATACGAGTGAGATAGTGAAGGACCCAGTTGAAGACTTCACTTAAAGGCAGGGGTTTTGCTCAAGAGTTCAGGTGTGTGGGAAATATTAACTCTTCTTATCCAAATACGTCAAATCACTCCTCGATCCACGGCTGATGACTTCGGCAGAGTAGAAAGCAGTTGTGCTAAGTTTGGGGAGACAGGAAGTCTTGGCCCTTCATCTTGGCTGTCTGGTAAGATCAGAACTTGCTGGAATAAAGGGTGATAATCCACTTGGGCATACGGAGGAAGCTGGGCATATAAGAGGCCAGCCAGGCCAGTCTGGGAACCTCAGAAAACACCGATCGCAGGGATAGATAGTCAGAGACAGGACGGCCTGAAGCAACAGGAAGGAAAACTGGGCTAGAGGGATTAGACTTTCAATCCCCACCCTTAAACTATCCCAAACCTTGGATGTGGGAACAAGGGGAGATAAGGAAGGGTTAATCAAAAGATATGCTGGGAAAGGGAAGTAGAAGAAAAGGTAGAAAATGCATGGGGAGAAAAGGAAAGTTTGAGAACATAAGGACATTTCCTTTTTCACTTCCCTGCCCCACATCTTCTCACCATCCACATCCTTAAAGCTGTATCTTTGAGCCAGATCGCAGGATGGCAGGACCCGACCACTCAGCTGCATGATATTGGGATCTGAGGATAGAAAGTATCAATGCATATAGAGTGAAGGGGGCAGCTTAATAAGAAAGTATCTACCTTAGAAATTTCAGAAGAATGAGTTTCTAGCTCCATGGCTATCTGGTTACCTCCCTGGATTATTGTCTTTCTCTCCCCTCCTTTTAGGGAGATACCCTCTAGTATATAATACCTCTGGGTCTGTGAAATGTTGAGTATACTGTTAATCAAATTAAGTTTATCTACCCAATACAGTTCCCAAGGTCGCTAACAATATTATTGGCTTTCCTCTTGCTTCCAAAGGCAGGATAAGAACCCAGCCCTGGTTCATATTAGTTCTACAGATTCCCATGATGTTTTTGGCAACATATCCTCCACCCCCCCATCCCATCAATTTACCTGTTGCCAGGGCTACCACACATTTGCCACTCAGCTCTGGGGTCTCCCCATTTGGAAACTGTTCTTTCAGCTATATTGCATAACCAGAAGATATGAACTGTTAGTCTAACAGCATCATCTCAAGTCTGCCTGTTAGTGTCATTCTTTTCAGCCCCTACCTCAAGCGGCCAAATCAAGGCTTGTTATGGGTGGAGAAGAATGTATTCTCCCCTCAGAAAATCTTCTGAGAAGGGGCTCTTCCTTGCCCCTCTCTCAGACAATGAAGTAGAGCCCCATTCTGCTGGTTTCCAAGAGCTCCTACTGCCTTTCTTCCAGGTCTTAGATTTAGAGATGAAAAGGACCTTAGCAGTTTTATATTCCAGTTATTTTGCACAAGAATAAATTGAGGCCCAGACAGATGAAACTACTAACTCAAGGCTGCAGAAGTAGTACCTGGCAGAACTGGGATTTCAACCCACGTTCTCTGACTTCAAATCCAGTTCCATTTACGAGCCCATGTTAGACTATAAATCTATAAGAGCAGAGAATATGCTTTATCTAAACACTGTATCTTTCCACAGCCTTACCACAGTGCTCTAAACACAAAAGGTTTAATAAATGCACATTGAATGAAAGTTGAATTAACTCTCCTCAAGGCTGAATCTAGTAGTGCCCCTTGGGCTCTGTGCCTATGTATTAGGTGGATAGATGACCACCCCCATGCCCTTTCCTTGCTGACCTGATGGGCCAAGGAGCTCTCTTCCTTGCTCAAATGTTCCGTCAATAGCTCTGTCTTCACCAACCCTGGCCAAAGAGACACATAGGCAATACCATGGCGTCGTAGTTCCTGGGCACAATCTGTGGCCAACCTATCACACTATGGAGGAAACAGGATAGAAATGAAAGCTATGATCCTCTATCTTCATTCCACTACTGTTTTCCCAGCTTTACCTATAAGTGACCCTGCCCCCAACTTCAGAGCCTTCCCTATCAAAAAAACCCCTCTCCTACCCAGAAACCCCTAAATTATTTCCCTTTCCACAGTATAACAACTGCAGGAAAGCATTTGGGACATGGGTTTTTTTTTTCCTTAAAAGTCCAAAAGGGAAGGTCTGTATATGAAGGGACAGAGCTATTCTTTCCAATACAATCTGAAAAAATATCAAGGTAATGAATCACTGTAGCCTGAGAACCCCTTCCATGAGTCTTGTCAAGCTTTTGTTTCCACTTCCCAGCCATCAGGACCTTACCGCTGCTTTGCCTACACCGTAGGCTACATTGAATAAATACTGCAGCCCACCAAGTGAGGAGACGACCACGATGAGCCCTCGACCAGCAGGCACCATTAGCCTGGCTCCATACACCGAGCACAAATAGTGGCCTCTGAAGGGGAGAGGAAGTGAAGTTTAGATAGTAACAGCACCTCATTGCATGCTTTGAGTGCTACAGAGAGCAGGTAGACAAGTGCCTAACCTCTGGGGAACCAAGCAATGAGTTCTTCTCACTTCTCACTGTAGTTGGTGGGGCCCTCTAGCGGATTCTTTATTAATCTCACCTTCAAAGAAGCTTGCCTAGACAACTTAAGACTTTGGTTCTCAAAGTCCTCCAGAAAAGGAAGCCCAGTTGCTGCCCCGGGTCTCCTATCTTAGGAGACCTCATTTCTTACTTTCAGGATGTTCTTGCTTGTATAGAACCTATATCCCTTCTGTTACACTTTCAATTCATTTTTTTTGTCCTATTTAGAAAAGGGAAACAGAACTCTAAGCGCAGTAATAATAATAGTCAACATCTGCATAATACCCTAAGGTTTTTAAAGTACTCTAGATTTACACTATTTAAATCTTACAATAATCCAGGGAGGTAACCATGCATTATTATTCCTATTTTACATAAAAAGGTAATTGATGGCTCTGAAAGGTAACTTGTCCAAGGTCACACAGGTAGTAAGACTTAAGATTTGTGACCTGAATTCAGGTCTTCCTGTCTCCAAGTCCCACAGTCAATCCACAGTATCCATGAAGTCTTTCAGTAAAATGGCAAACAGATACAATTTGTGCTTTTAATATCCAGAATAAGCTTGAAATGCTGTGGTTTCTCCCTCAAATTTCTGATGTACACATACTTTCCTCAATCCAACCTATGTGCACTACTAAAACTGGACAGAATGTATTTACATGATGGAGAAGGGGAAGATGTAACCACATGCTAATTCTCAAATGAGAGATGATAGATTTCTATAACACTGTATTCTTTACAACTTAAAAAACAAAACAAAACCCACAGCTAGCACGTAGACTGGAGCAGAGATAGATATTTTCTTGACTTTGTTAATTTGGGGGGCTTTCTAGAAGAGTGTTAGTAAAGGCAAGGGGATGGGAGGCTGAAGGCTCTTCTCAGATGGATGAAAGGTACATTGAAGAGTAGGTGAGGGTATGTGATGGGCCTCTTAGTGGTGAAGGGAATGGGAACTGAAGGGAGAAGACAGAGATGGGGGAACAATAGGGCAAGCACAGAAAGATGAGGAAATACAAGGATGGAAATAAAAGTTGTGAATTACCAGACTGACTGAAAAGAAGGATAACTGGTCCCTTGATTATAGGGTGGATCAGGAGAAGTAGTACTCACCGGAGTCCTACATTATTGACGTCATCCCAAATAGAGGCTGGGCATTCCCAGAATGGCTTCTCCATATGGGAAATGAGGGTCTAAAAAGAATGAGGGATGAGATGGGAGGTGGGGAGCTGGGGGTGGGGCAGTGGGAGGTGGGGTGGGAGGGTAGGCAGTGCATGCATGACTTGAAAAGCGGAAGAATCTCAAGTATATATGGATAGGAGTTGAGGCAGATGGGGCTAAGGCCTAGAGTTAGAATGTTTAAAAAAAAAAAGAGAAGTGGAACCATTGGTAGGCCAGGGAATCAAAAGAAGGGGCGGGGGGCTGGTACCTGGACCCCAGCATAGGCATTGTTGACTAGTACATCCAATCTTCCATCTTGTTCTCTATTCACCCTTTCAAACAGGCACCGCACCTCATCTTCCTGGGTTGAGTCACAAACCACAGGCACACATCGACCACCTCGGGACTGTGCCTGGGGTAGGATGGACACAAGAGTCCCTTGAGCACATATCAGCACTGCATTTAGGTATAAATCATACCAGGTCTCTCCTCCCTACTCAACTGGTCCTCGTTCTGAGGCCAGCAGATCTGAATGAATGGAGTAAGGCTATCCTCTGGTGCCTGAACAAGAATTGCAGGTATAGAGAAAGGATTCCTGAGAATTCCACAGTTTTTAAAGCGTGCAGCAAATTAACTGTATGGATTATAGTTACATTTGCAATTAGCTGCAATCCCATGGACACATGGAATCTGACTGTCTATTAGTACACTTTGATTCCTCATGGCCAAGCAGAAGAAAAAAATGCTGGAGAACCACTGCTCTGGGATCAACTCTAAACTCTTATTTGGCATTTAAGGCTCATTACAACCTGGTCCCATCCTATCTTTACAGCTTCATTACATATTACTGCCCTCCATGCATTTTGTAGTCCCAGCCAAACTGACCTTGTGTTCCAAACATGATGGGTCACTTTACCTTCTGGTTCTAACAATTAAAACTATTTTCAATATGATTTCTTGAGTTGCATTTACCTGGCTTTTTTTTTTTAATCACAGTTTTTTTTTTTTGTTTTGTTTTTAGGCAATTGGGGTTAAGTGACTTGCCAGGGTCACACAGCTAATAAGTGCCAAGTGTTTGGTCTGAGGCCGCATTTGAACTCAGGTACTCCTGACTTCAGAGCTGGTGCTCTATCCACTGCACCACCTAGCTGCCCCCTAAGTCATAGTTTTCAGGGATACCCTCCCCAACAATTCTTAAATTGTATTTCCCTGATCTACTTTGCAGATCAGTTGTTTTTTTGTATTAGATATATTACTTTCTTCTATTTTTCTCTGTCTTTTGATTTTTTTTTCCTATTCCTTGCTCTCAGGGAATCACTGATTTCTGTTTAATCTAATCTAATTTTCAGGGAGCTCAATACTTAGATAACATTTATCGTTCTCTCTTCTAAGTTATTTGTTCTCTTTCCAATTTTTTCCTCAAGAGCTTTTAAGTTTTAAATCTCTTGCTCAATTTCTTCTAGGCATTCATATGTAGTCCTTGTGGAAAATCCATTTTGTTTCAAAAAGTTTCTCTCTCCTTTTGGGGGACCTCTATAGCTGTAATAAATTTTGATATTGGTTGTTTTATTTACTCATCTCTCCAGATTTAGTTACTGAATTGGAGCTTTTTGCCAAGACCAGGCTGTGTACCCAGCTGCACTTTTGAGTTGTATGGTTGGCCCTTGGTCACAGGCATGTATATGGTTCATCTGTGGTCCCACTGGGCAGCTACTCTATGCTTGTAGCAGGACCCTTAATGTTTTTGGGCTTCAGACTGATTTCTTGTGAAATTGTGGGGTGAAGACTCAGTACTATAGCTTCCACAATGAATTTTTTCCCCCTACCTTTTTTTATTAATTTATTTTGCTTTATCAACAATCATTTCCATAAGTTTTTGAGTTTTAAATTTTTCTCCCCTTCCCTTCATCTCCTGAGTCAGGGCTCCATGAATCTTGAAAGTTCAGAGCATTTGCTCTTCTATAATCTAGAAAGATTTGTTCTGTAAAACTTGTACTCGGTCAAAAGGCTGCACCCACGGCTGCACCACGTGTATCCTCAAGGTCACAGGTTCCCCGCCCCTGTTCTACATTCTCAGGACACAGATTATGGGGACCTCAAGCTTGAGGGGAGGGTGGAAATCCTGGTTTGAGGACTGCCACAGTATTGGTCATTGCCCACTGGACTGCTGTTTCCTGGGGCTTTCTGACCACTCCACGTTTTTAGGGGAGCCTCCTGTTCTTGCTGTCTTTGGACACAGAGCTTTGCAGGTCTGTATGTGGTTCATCTGTGGTCCCACTGGGCAGCTACTCTACTCTTGTAGCAGGACCATTCATGTTTTTGGGCTTCAGACTGATTTCTTGTGCAATTGTGGAGTGAAGACTCAGTACTATAGCTTCACAATGAATTTCTTTTTTTCCCCCCACTTTTTTTAAATTAATTTATTTTGCTTTATCAACAATCACTTCCATAAGCTTTTGAGTTTTAAATTTTTCTCCCTTCCCTCCTCACCTTCCTCCCCAAGACGGCTCGCAATCTGATATAGGTTATACATATACATTCCTATTAAACATATTTTCACATTAGTCATGTTGTAAGGAAGAATTAGAATAGGAGGAACCACCAGAAAGAGGAAACAAAACACAACAGAAGAAAAAAAAATAGCAAATAGTATGCTTCGATCTAAATTCAAACTCTTCTTTGGATGTAGATGGCATTTTCCATCATGAGGCCTTTGGAGATGTCTTAGATCCTAGTAATGCTGAGAAGGGTTAAGTCTATCAATGTTAGTCATCACATCAGAATGTGGCTGTTACTGTGTACAGTGTTCTCCTGGTTCTGCTCACTTCACTCTGACCATACAAGTCTTTCCAGGTTTTTCTGAAGTCTACCTGCTCATCATTTCTTATAGCACAATGAATTTCTTGATTATTCAGTCTGGTACAAACTTTAGGATTTTGCTGGAATAAGTATGTGGGAGCTGGGCAGTCTGCTTCCCATGCCAGCAGCCATCTTGACTTGAAGTGGTCTCCTTCTCTTCTCCCTTTATGCTTTCTCATTTGGGGAACCCATCAGCTATCATGGGTTTATTATCTCTATGCAGATGATTCTCAAGCTCTATTTATCTAGCCAGAATCTCTCTGCTGACCACATCACTAACTGCCTAGTGGACATCTCAAATTTTACGTCTCATAGGCATCACAAACACAGTATGTCCAAGATAAATAATTATCTATTTCCCCAAATCTTCCTCTCTTCCACAATTCTCTATTACTGTTGTGGGTACCACCATCCTCCTAGTTACCCAGGCTTGACCTTGATGTCATCCTTGATGCCTCACTCACACTGACCTTGTATCCAACCTGTTGCAAGTCTTGTCATTTACCTTCACAATATTTTTCACATGTTCCCTTCTCTACAAACAATTACCATCCTATTGCAGGTCCATATCATATCAAGCCTGCACTACTACAATAGCTCACTGGTTAGTTTCCCTGCCTCAAATTTCCCTCCATTTTAGTTTATCATTCACTCAGCTGCCAAAATTATCTTCCTAAAGTGGAGGTTTGGCCATGTCACCCTAATTCAATAAACCCCAGTGGTTCCCTATTACTTCAGGATCAAATATAAAATCCTGCATGACTTTTTTTTTTTTGGCTAGGCAATGGGGTTAAGTGACTAGCCTAGGGTCACACAGCTAGTAAGTATTATGTGTCTGAGTCCAGATTTGAACTCAGGTCCTCCTGAATCGAGGGCTGGTGCTCTATCCACTTCGCCACCTAGCTGCCCCTCTCCAGCTTTAGTTCCTGAATTGCAGCTTTTTGCCAAGACCAGGCTCTGTACCCAGCTGCACTTTTAAAGCCCCTAATGAACTGTATGCTTCCTGCCTTTCCAGTCTTCTTACACTTTATTCCACTCTACAAACTACAATCCAATGACATGGACTTTCTTGGCACTTCTCACACATAACATTCCATATTTGACCCTATGCTTTCTCACTGCCTGACTCTCTTACCTGGAATGCTTTTACTTTCTCATCTCTGCCTCCTGGTTTCCTTTAAGACTTAGTTCAAATCAGTACCACATTACATCTATCAGATTGGCCAACATGACAAAACAGGAAAATGATAAATGTTGGAGAAGATATGGGAAAATTGGAACACTAATGCATTGTTGGAGTTGTGAAATGATCCAACCATTCTGGAGAGCAATTTGGAACTATGCCCAAAGGGTTATAAAAATGTGTGTACCCTTTGACCCAGCAATACCACTTCTAGGTCTGTATCCCAGAGATCATAAAAATGAGAAAAGGACGCACATGTACAAAAATATTTATAGCAGCTCTTTTTGTAGTGGCAAAGAATTGGAAATTGAAGGGATGTCTATCAATTGGGGAACGGCTGAACAAGTTGTAGGATATCAATGTAATGGAATACTATTGTGCTATAAGAAATGATGAGCAGGGGGACTTCAGAAAAACCTGGAAAGACTTGTATGGACTGATGCTAAGTGAAGTGAGCAGAATCAGGAGAACATTGTACACAGTTAACAGCCACGTTGCTTGATGACTAATATTGATAGACCTAACCCTTCTCAGCATTACAAGGATCTAAGACATCTCCAAAGGCCTCATGATGGAAAATTCTATCCACATCCAAAGAAAGAACTATGGAGTTTGAATGCAAATGAAGTATACTATTTGCTCTTTTGTTTTTCTTCTGTTTTGTTTTCTTTTCTCTTTCTTGTGTTTCCTCCTATTGGGTCTAATTCTTCCTTACAACATGACTAAAGTGAAAATATGATTAATAAGAATGTATATGTAAAGTCTATACCATATTGCGCTCCGTCTTGGGGAGGGAGGTGGAGAAAAATTTAAAACTCAAAAGCTTATGGAAGTGATTGTTGACAAATCAAAATAAATTAAAAAAAAAAAGAAAAAGACTTAGCTCAAATCCTACCTTCCGCAAGAAGCCTTTCCTGGTCCTCCTCACTGCTAATATGCCTTCCCTATGAGATTAATTCCCACTTACACTGTATATATCTTATATATGAGTGTTTTTTTTGTATGCTTTCCTCCTCATTAGCAGGTGAACTCCTTGAGTGTAGAGACTGTGTTTTTTCCTTTCTTTGTATCTATAAGTTAGCATAATTCCTGACACGGAATCAGTGCTCAATAAATGTCTACTGACTCCAATATATCCTCAATTCAATTATCAAAGTGATTTTCCTAAAGAGAATGTCTAGCAATCCCATCCCCTCCTGCCTACTCCATAATTTCCAATGGCCTCCTGTTAGCTCTAGTATCAAATATAAAGCATCCTAGTATTATCCCAACAAGACCACAGTGGCTTGTTTCTACTCAAATCAGGCTGGAAGCAAATTCACTATGCTTTAAAGGAAACTAGAGCACATCAGGAATGGAAGAAAAGGACTTTCAGCAAGGAAGAGCTGTGAGTTACATCTTTGCTGCATGCTCAAAGTTTAAGCACACTTTCCCCTGGACTCTGTATGTACATGTGGATGAAAGTATCGAAAATGTTGGGGAAAGAGGGGATTTTTTTTTTGTATCAACTTGTTACCGGACCACTTTAATAAATGACCCTTTCTAAAAGCTACTTAAGGCTGCTTGACTATAGATTCTCAGCCGAAAATTGAGGAAGAGAAGAAGCAGGAAAGCATACCAATGGCATTAGAGAATCACCACCTGTGTATAAGGTGGCATGGATCCAATCTGATACCAGCAGCCAGGATCCTTTGCCCTATACACTCACACTGTGCTTTCACAATGCTGACACATCATTATATAACCACAGAAAATGTAAACTTAGGAGCTTATTGTTGGCATGATGCCTTCTCTGTGTGCTTCTCTATAAATTAAACAAGTACTGGTCAGTAAGTGCAGCAAGGGGGATGCTGTACTAAAGGCAGAAGTTCCCTTCTTGTCTCCCGGGGCTCAGAGAATAAAGTGATCAGGCAGAATGTGAATGTGGATGCTGTAGGGGCAGGTGCTCCTATTCCTCTGCTTCCCAGCCTGCCCCAGAATAAGCTGAAGAGGCAGATGCTTTACTCTTCTTTCAACCTGCTGCCTGGAGAATAAAGTAACATAACCCCTTATCATGTCTCCACTGTCCTTTTGCAGTCTGACCTAATACAGAGTGAACCTGCCAGGACCCCAGGAGCACCTGTGTAAGGCCACCCCATACACACTCCTTAAAAGTACGTACTCCTTGAACCCCTAGGGGAAGATGTACCCTTGCTATGGGATCCAAGACTCTTCTATGACAGCTGGTTGGGATAAGGACTCTAAGGGCTTACAGGGCCTAAGTGCCTGCCGTTCCCGATTGTAATGCAAACTATTGGAGAGCAAGGACCATTTTACTTTTTGACTTCGATTCGCCAGTGCCTAGTACATAGTTCAATAATCCTCGTTTGATTGACAGATACTGTGGAAAGTGAGGGGGTTTTTGATGGAAGAGGAGATACAGAGCTCACCTCCAGAGCGGCAGTCTGCAGCGTGTCCTGTTTTCGGCCAGTGATGTAGACCGTGGCTCCTGCCTCGCAGAGTTGCAAAGCAATGCCCCGGCCAATGCCCCTGGAGGCTCCTGTCACCACACATACTTGGCCCTTCAGGGAGCCTAACATCGTACCAAGATGAGTTTCCCTGTTGAAGAAAAGCAATTGAATGCACCTGCGGCTGCAGAAGCGTCAGGGAAATAAAACTGGGGAGGCGGGGCACAAGGGCCAAAAGGCAGTGAGGAAAGGGGCTGGAGGACAGAGGGCCCCGAGGCGGCAAGGGCCGCGAGCACCTCCTCCCCCGGCCCAAGAAGGCCTCGAACATGGGGCACCAGGCTACGCACACCTCCGAGGTGCCCCGGAGCCCCCAATCCAACCCCGGGAGGCACTGCGGCGAGGGACAGCCTGAAGCCCCCCAGGAGAGAACAGCTTCACGACGCAGCCCGGGTCGCAGCGGGTCACGTGCGCGCGCAACTGCAGCCTTAGGGTCCGCTCCCGGGGGATCCTCGAGCCCAGGCAGACGAGCGCGCTACGGAACCTTTAGCTGCCTGGCAGGACACGGTGGACCCTGACCCTGACCCGTGGGTGGAGCTCAGCCGCGGAAGCTGCCCGCCCTTCAACTGAGCACGTAATCCCAGCTCCCCGGGCGTGTGGGGGAGCCCAAGGGGGGGTACCCCAAGTTCAGGCAGACGCGCGCGCCTCGGAGCCTTTAGCTGCGTAGCAGAACACCTAGGACCCGAACCCAAAAAGTGCGCGGGCGGGGCTTGGCTGCGGAAGCTGCCTGCCAGTCAACAGCACGCAGCCTCAGCTCCCCGGGGTGTGGGGGGAGGCAAAGAGTGGGGTACCTTCAGCCCAGGCGGACGAGCGCGCGCCTCGGAACCTTTAAGGGCGCTCCCGGACGCTGAGGACCCGGGCCGAAAAGCGCGTGGGTGGGGCCCAGCGGCGGAAGCGGCCCGCCCCTCACCTGCGCGCGCAGTCGCCGCCTCCGCTCCCGGGGATCTTCGACGCCGGCGCACGAGCGCGCCTCGGCACGGGTAGCAGTTTTCCAAAACACCTCGGACCCTGGCCCGAGAGGGGCGTGCACGGGGGGCGGGGCCCAGCCGGGGAAGACGCCCCCTTCCCCCTGGGAGGCGGCGGTCGCAGAGCAATGACGCAAGCACCACAGCGCCTAACCGCCGTGGGCAAACGCGTTGGCGAGCGGCCTCCAAGCTGGGACCGCGACGCTCGAGGGCCGGTTGCCGGGCTGCCAGGGCCAGCTCTGCGCGTGCTCCCATGGGGGTGCGCCCACACCTTTCCCCGAAGGCCGGGCGCCGCCGGCCCGGTGGGGGCGGCCGGGGCAGGGGCTGGGCGCGGCCCGAGCAGGGCCCTGACCCCCATCCTCGCCCGGCTCCCGACCCGCACCCTCGTCCGGCCCCCGAGTCGCTGACCTACTTTCGCCGGGCTCTGGAGGCGCTTAAGGAGACGCCGGAGACTGGGGAGGAGCGCGGTACGGGGCAGGAGCGGGGTCCACTGGGCTCGTGTGGGGGCGGACTGGGGTGGACGGGACTGCTGGGTGTGTGGGTGGGAGGGTATGCGCGCGTGAGCGTGCAGGAGGTGTGGGGGGGGGCCCGGAGGGGGGGGGCGGTTGGGGGGGGGGGGAAAGGGGGCTAGACCGGGCATGGGCTCCGAGAGTGAAGCAAGGAACCCTGGAGAGAGGAGGGGTTTGTGTGTCTGCAGTGCCCTTCTTATCTCTTTCCCCCCACCAAAAGGAAAAAATAACTTTTTTTTCTCTTTCTAGAGCTTTTGATACGTAACGTGCTGAAGGAATTAGAGACGCAGGCCGTGGCCTTGGCCACAGATAGGGCAGGCAGTGGGATGCTGCAGGAGCTCTTGTCATCCAGCCCCCCGGGCCCACTGCGCCGCTTGCTGGCTGCTCTCTTACCTCATTTGCGCTTGGTGGCTTGTCACCGAAGTGGGGCCCACGTATTGCAGAGTGTCATGCTGCAGCTTCCCCGATTTCCAGAAGCTCTTGCCAAAAAGGATGAAGGAGATGTAAAGGATGGAGAGCCTGAGACTCTGGAAGAGCTGATAATGAAGCTGGCATCAGAGGTGCGTGATGCCTTAGTCCTCTACAGTGGAGACACTCATGGCAGCTTCGTGGTCAGGACTCTGCTACAGGTGTTAGGGGGGACGGTCTTGGAGTCTGAGATAGCCAGACCCCGAGGTCCCCAGTCACTTGGTGAGTTCTCCAGGGTAGGGAGGTAGTGTTGGGGTCATGATGAGATCTCCCGTGCTTATTTACATTGGGGAGGGAAAAGGGTTTCTCATCCTAGTTTGAAGTCACCTGGAATAGAGGGGAAAAAACAAAGTCTCCTAAAACTATATTATCTTATTTAAGTGTAACCCATATTTGTTCATCTCTGGAAATTCAGTCTTTTTGAAAGCAGTTTGCTATTTTACGAAGGCATATGTTCTTACCTTTACTTCAGGTGGCCATCGGGCCCCAGTTCGGGAATGGAAGCCAGCCAGTTTTGAGGTTCCTGATACCTTCTTGAGCTGCTTACAAGAACTGAGTTCCTGTTTTCTGAAGGATATTTCTGGTGAGGGGACTGAGAGAGAGCTTAAATCAGTAAACAGAACAAGAGAACACATTTTTGGGGGGGGGGTTTAATGTGGAAGGGAGGCACTGCCGCAGTCCCTTGATGGGACCTATGGAGGTAGTAACTGTGATTCTCCCTGAATCGCTTGTTTTCATTTCTTATTCTGTTTCCTTTTGAGGAATGAGGGTGGGCAAATCTTGTGTAAGAAATTTTGTATGTTCCTGTCCTGTCTCACAGTGTTCATCACTGACAAGATCTCTAGTTTCTGCCTCCAAATAGCGCTGCAGGTACTGCATCGGAAACTTCCCAAGACTTGTGCCCGTCTTTGTGGTTCTGTGATCAAATACCTGAGTACTCGAAACTCCTCAGCTGATGGCAGGTTAGAGGAAAGCTTCTAGTCTTCATAAGTTGGTGGTCAGGATGTATTGTGCTACACAGGATGGAGTAGAATTAATTTGGATTTATTGCCATTTCCCTGTCCCTAGCCCCTTGCTGTTATTCCTACGAGACCAGACAAGCTCCAGACTGCTAGAACAGGTGTTGCTGGTGTCAGAACCTCCACAGCTACAGAGCCTCTTTGAGGATCACTTCCAGGGGCAGCTTCAGGCCCTAGCATCCCATCCAATTGCCAACTTCCCCCTGCAGCGTTTTCTTGATGCTATTACCACCCCTCAGTTGGTAAGTGTGGTGGGATAGAGGAGAGCCTGGGGAATTGGGTTAAGGAGATGAAGTTGGGTAAGAAAGTTGAATTGTACTTGAGGGGTGATCAGTGATTCATTCCATGTCATCTTTTACCCTCAGCTGTCCCAAGTGTTTGAGGAGTTGAGTCCTGCCCTGGAAGCTGTGCTGGCACAAGGCCACGCAGGTGTAGTCATTGCCTTGGTGGGTGCCTGCCGTAAAGTTGGGACTCACCAGGCCCAAATTCTGCAGTTGCTTCTGGAGGTGAGTGAGGTATAGACTAGACCTCTGCCATTCCCCTATTTCAGATACCCCTCTCAGGTCTTACCTCATTTATTCTTTTCTCTTATGGTTCCAAGGGCCCTCATGACCCAACCATTCACAAATGGAAAAAAAAATGAGACAGAGAAGGCACAAATAAGGGCTCGAGCTCAGTGTCCCAAACAAAGCAAGATTTCAGACTCAGAAGGGATCTCAGAGGCTAAGTCCAACCCCCACCCATCCAAGAATCCTTTTCATGCTCGTGCCAAGTAGTCATCTAACCTTTCTGAATACTCTAATGAGGGAAGACTTGCTACTTCCAAGGCAATCCATGGCATTGTCTAATGGTTCTAATTCTTGGAAAGTTTTTTCTTACATTAAGCAAAAATCTCTTTTTCTGCAATGTCTTCCCCTTTTCCCAGTTCTTCCCTGTAGGACCAGGTCTAGTCTTTGCACATGACAATTCTTCAGATACCTCAAAATAGTTCTAGTTCCTTTAGTGAATCCTCAGACAGCATGTTCTTCATTTTCTTTGTCATTCACCCTGTAGATAATGGAGAGGTTTTTAAACTGGGGTTTGTAAACTTGTTTTAAAAATATTATAACTTTCAATGTAATTGACTTCTTTTACAATTTCATGTATTTCATTTTATATGTTTAAAAACATTATTCTGAAAAAAAGGGTCCATAGGTTTTGTGAGACTGCCAAAGGGGTCCATGACTCAAAAAGAGTTAAGAACCTTTACTTTAGTTGCTCTCCAGCTTGTTAATGTCCTTCCTAAATTGTAGCACTTACCTGAATACAGTGCTCTAACTGTGGTCTGACCAGGGTGGGGACTAGCAGAACGATCATCTCTGGTTCTGGATGTTGTACCTCTCTTAATTGCAACTAAAGATAACATTAATGTTTTTGTCTTCCATGTCACACTGTTATCTTAAAGCTTGCAGTTAACACCAATATCCTCCCCTACTCCCCACCCCTACTCTTTTTTTACATGAACTGTTGTCTAATCATGCTGCCCTTATACTGTATTTTTTAAACTGATTTTTGGACCAAAGTGTAGAATTTCATATTTATCCCAGGTAAAATTAATCTAATTAGATTGGGTTCATCTTTCTAGCCTTTAAGGATCTTTTTGGATCCTGATTTGGTAGTGCAAGATGTTCATTAGCCCTGCCAGTTTTATGTCATCGGCAGATTTGACAAGCATATGATTTATGCTTTTATCCAGATCATAGATAACATGTTGACTAATGCCAAGCCAAGGACAGATCCTTTGGGTGCTCTACTACAGATTTCTCCATAAAGATAAATGTGCTGTAAATGCTTTGTCAAATTGTGTGTAACAGCTGTTCTCAAAAATTTTGGTCTTTGGACCTCTTGACACTCTTAAAAATTATTGAAGATCCCCACAAAGAGCTTTTGCTTATGTGGGTTATATTTACTGCATTAGAAATTAAAACATCTCAGAATTACTATGAAAATAGTTTTGACCTTGACCCCCGAAAGTCTCTCAAAGACTCCCAACGTATCAGTGGACCACCCTTTGGGAATCACTGATCTGTAGCTTTCTCCTGATTCATGATTCTACTTATCCTATTTAAAAATGAAATGAGATTATAACTGGCATCATGTATTCTTGATGTAGCCATCCTGGCCCTTAGTGATTACCACTTCCCTTCCTAACTGCTTATAAACTACTCATTTAATAATGCATTTTAGAATCTTGTCTTTGCCTGGCCTATAATTTGTAGGCTTCACCTTCTATCCTTTTTCCCCACTTTGGTAAATCATCATATTGACCCTTCCCTGGGTCTTTGTCATACATTCCCATTCCCCATAATCATTGAAGTATCACATCTACTGGTCCTGTCAGTTGTCTCATGTATGGTTGATCCTTGTTTGGTCATTGAGTCTGTTAAAAGCAGTTGGCTGAATACTTATAGTCTCTTCCCTTAGTTTGCATTCTCTAT